GTGCCCATCAACCTTAAACAATAATCTGTCAATTTTATTTTTCAGACTTTATGATGGTCGATACTTGATCTATCTCTTACTGTTACATCCCCGGGCAACGCCGGGCTCTACTGCCAGTATGACAGTAAAGATGAAGACAACAGTCTGAAAAATGTAAATATAACAATAATTGATTCATGTTGTTTATAGAACACACACACACACACACACACACACACACACACACACACACACACACACACATATATATATATATATATATATATTGCTATGTCCCGGAAAGGGATATATTTGATCGAAGTAGCTAAGTGGGTTTGGCTACTGTAACCAAGTAGTACACGGTAGCAGTAATCGACTGGTACTCGTCGTAGTCGCAGGTAATAGATGTAGACCAATAGGATAGCCAATGGCGTAGTCCAATGGGCGTCGTCATAGACTTAAACTCTGTCGTACCTACACGTCCGTCTGTATTTATGACGGACACCAGCCAATCATATTCCAGTGAGGGGGAACTCAGGTGTATGCATATTCCATTATATATATTGTATCTGTTAATGCAAAGAAATAAATAGTTTTAGGCTTATCTGTATGAAGATATATCTTTCTTGTGAGATCATTTAAGTAAACACGTTTTTCTGGTCCAACGGTTTGTATTTTTTCGCCCAAACTGTTTTTCTAGCGCATTATGGATATTCCACTTCCCTTACTTTACTATAACCTAACAAAGTAGGGGACGCAACTCCTGCTTCTTATCCATTAATCACTACAGACACATATGTTTGTCTCATTGATCCAAATAGAGGTTTATTTTTGACTGTACTAGATAATTTAAAAAATAATTTAAAGTCTCTTTTGACAGGTACTCCTTCCTACCAATATGTAAAATTGTAAAAATACATATTGGTGATCATGGTTCTCCACAATTTCCTATCTTTTGTAGCTTTTACTAAATTTTTTTTTTAATTCTAGAATTTGGTCCTTTCCAAAATATTTTATTAAATAACATATTTTCGATACATTGATTATTGATAGATCCTCTATCTCCCCGCTGTCAGTTTTAATTAGCACCACCAACTTTCTTTTTTAATACCTACTTTTCAAATATACACGAGACTCGCACCAGGAAAGCACTATTATAACGCTTTTGATTGTAACAAATTCTTTCATGGCGAGGTGCCTTGTCCTAGTTTATTATTATAGTTTTATGTTCTATGAGAACAGTGAAACATTTTCCAAATATTTAGCAGTGAAGAATCGAGAGATCATTTTAACAAATTGGAGCCATGCAGAGTCAACTGAACAAAGAAAAAAAACTGCTTAAAATTGCAAATGTTTTGAATATTCTCCAGTGTTGATTTGATCTTTCACGAGAAATTCAAAACTTGCTTACAATCTAAAAGAATGCAATTTACATACCAAAAGTCAATGACGTTGCGTATCAATTAAACTCGAAAAATGAGTTACTGTTCTGAAGTGGAATTCACAAGGGCATTAATTATCCCCTAATCTCTCTATTTCTCTCTCTCTCTCTCTTACTCTTTCTTTCTTTGCATTCTATACGTTTTTGCTTCTATCTTTCTATACTAAACGTTCTAACTTCTTTCTTACATTTCTTCCTTTGTTTCTCTATTTAGTTCTTTGTTTCTTTCTTTCTTTCCACACGTTCTTGTTTCTTTTTTTCTATTTTACACATCCTTACTTTTTTCTTTTTTAGTTATTTTTTATTCTTTCTTTCTATTCTATACATACTTCTTTCTTCGTGAAATTTCTTTTTTCGTTCTTCATTTATTTATCTCTTTATTTATTTATTTCCATACGTTCATGCTTCTTTTTTCTATTCTACACTTTCTTTCTTTCTTTCTTTCTTTCTTTCTTTCTTTCTTTCTTGCTTTACGTTCTTGCTTCCTTCTTTTTCTTCTACACATTCTTACTTCTTTCTTTTTTAGTCATTTTTTATTCTTTCTTTTCTACACATTCTTATTTCTTTCTTTCTCCCTTCTTTATGTTCAACACATTATTTCTTTCCATACGTTCTTGCTTCTTTCTTTCTTTCTTTCTTTCTTTACGTTCTTGCTTCTTTCTTTTCTTTCTACACATTCTTACTTCTTTCTTTCTTTTTTTAGTCATTTTTATTCTTTCTTTCTTTTCTACACATTCTTCTTCCTTTCTTTCTTTCTTCTTTCTTTCTTTATATTCAACACATTATTTCTTTCCATACGTTCTTGCTTCTTTCTTTCTTTCTTTACGTTCTTGCTTCTTTCTTTCTTTCTTTCTTTACGTTCTTGCTTCTTTCTTTCTTTCTTTCCGTTCTTGCTTCTTTCTTTCTTTCTTTACGTTCTTGCTTCTTTCTTTCTTTCTTTACGTTCTTGCTTCTTTCTTTCTTTCTTTCTTTCTTTCTTACGTTCTTGCTTCTTTCTTTCTTTACGTTCTTGCTTCTTTCTTTCTTTCTTTACTTTTCTTGCTTTCTTTTCTTTCTTTCTTTTTGCTTCTTTTCTTTCTTTACGTTCTTGCTTCTTTCTTTCTTTCTTTCTTACGTTCTTGCTTCTTTCTTTCTTTACGTTTTTGCTTCTTTCTTTCTTTCTTTACGTTCTTGCTTGTTTCTTTCTTTCTTTCTTTCTTTACGTTCTTGCTTGTTTCTTTCTTTCTTTCTTTCTTTCTTTACGTTCTTGCTTCTTTCTTTCTTTCTTTCTTTCTTTCTTTACGTTCTTGCTTCTTTCTTTTTCTTCTACACATTCTTTCTTCTTTCTTTCTTTTTTTAGTCATTTTTATTCTTTCTTTCTTTTCTACACATTCTTCTTTCTTTCTTTCTTTCTTTCTCTCTTTCTTTCTTTACGTTCTTGCTTCTTTCTTTCTTTATTCTGTTCTACCAATTGTTGCTCCTATCTTTTTACTTTCTTTCATTTTTAGTCATTTTTGCTTCTTTCTATTCTACCCATTCATGCTTCTTTCCTTCTTTATTTCATTCATTTCCAGACGTTTTTGGTTCTCTCATTCAGTTCTACACATTCTAGCATAATTCGTTGTTGCTTACTTTTTTTTATTTCTATTCTATACATTCTTGCTTCTTTCTTTCTTTCTTTCTTTCTTTCTAGACGTGTTTTGTTTTTTCTTTCCATTCTACGCATTTTGCTTCTTTCTTTCGTTCATTCTTTCTGTATATGTTTGTAATGCAGACTAACCTTGAATAATGAACTTGTAGCAGTCGGACATGTCATCGTTCAACTTTCTCGCGTGCTCTGATTAAGTAGAAATGACAGTTTGTATAAGTTCTCTTACCCTATCAAACATGATATTTGCACATCGTTTGGTGCCGCCGGATAGACAGGTTAAATAAAATTGCAACCAGCTACAATCCAGAAAGAAGCACTCGAGAACAAACTAAAATAAAAATCTGACTCCCGCTAAAGGACGGCATTTTTTCATTTCTCTGTCTAGCCAGTTGCTAAAACCGCGTACTATGAAGTTCTAGAGTCCAGTGTAGAAGCTATGCCACAAAAGACCCAACTGTAATGATCTGGCTCTATGGCCAGAGTTCCCTACTCTGAGAATTCGTCTTTGGTTGACGGATAATTGGAGTCAGTGTGTAAACATGCACACACTGCCTAAAAAGGACCCCCGTCTACTGTGGGCTCAACTACCATCATCGGGAAACAGAAACAACTGGCATGGAGGTGTAAGATATAGTAGACAAACTCACTCACCTAACCGTCGATGGTAAAAAAAGGTGAAAAACCAGCTCTGAAAAATGTGTATAAGGACCTAGAGCCAGCCCGCAAACCCAGAGAGTACACCCAGCCCAGAATATATGTGGTTATTCTAGACTAAGATGGAAAAATTATTTAGGCTAAAGCAGTTTATACTCCCGAGTATAAAATGAGTTAGGCTATAATGTACCGCTTGCTTAAAATATGCCCCCCAATCCAGTACAGAGTATCTACATTTGGCTTGGTGCTTCGGCTTTGTATTTAGAAATTCTAGATAAAATCCGAAAAAAGAATCTGCAATGTTATCGGTCCTGACCTGTTATGTCGGATCAGTTATAAAATTCAAGCATGACCACCAGGAGACCGACTCCTTGCGCCATCTCACGTAAACGTTTTCCGATGAAACGGTTCACAAGTAGTTGGTCTTCGACGATGGAATCGCGATTGGCTCGCAATTTCGTGTGACCTGGCTCAGGATCGGTGAGCGTGAGCAGCGATGGTCCGTGATGCTGTACTTGCTCGGGAGGAAGCCGGTTCAACCGGACCAAAGTGAAAACCGATACAAGACAAGACGAGAAGAAGGTGAAACGTAGTGGAAAGATTAAATCGAATCAATTACTGGGTTTTCTGTTAGCAAAGTTGGTTCACTGTGTCGAGCTAGACAACCTTTCTCGCCAGAATCTCACACATTTATAACTCTACCATTCGTCAATGCGTTAAATATTGCTGTCGCATTTGGTCTAGTGCTCCTGCTGTGTATCTGGAGATTTCTGATAAAACCCAAAGAAAAATTTGAATGTTATCGGTTCTGACCTGATATCTCGGCTTCAGTCATTTTCTCACTGCCGTAATGTAGCTTACCCAAGCCTTTTCTATAAATATTTTCCTTGTAATTGTTTTGATGAGCTTTCCACTATGGTACCGAGATTTTATAAATGCACGCGCAGTACTAGATTGGGTATTAGGGCTCTCATCATTTTACAGTTGAAATGGCTATATGTAACCGTAAATTCAATGGTAGCAGTTTCTCCCATTGCACTTCTCGATTGTGGAATGTTTTCCGGCTTCTTGCATTTCAGAAAACTTTAATCTTCAAGAATTTAAATGCAAAGTCAATCGTTATCTTTTTCTCTTATTATTTTATACTCAGTAACTGAATCGTAGTGGCTTTATTGCCTTGCTTAGATTGAAATGATTTAAAAAAAATGAATGATGACTTGTGGATTCGTGCTAGAACAACCAACAACTGCTCGCAAATAGTTACGTCTACCCAATTTCACTCATAAGGTAAATCTGTAGCATCGTTAAAAGACCGGTTTCCGTACAATCACCAAAGTTAAGCAACATGGGGTCTGGTCAGTACCTAGGTGGGTGACCGCTTGGGAATACCAGATGCTGTAAGCTTGGATGTGCGGTTGGTGTAATGGATAAGGGCTCGGAATTGTTAATTGGCGAGCCGAGTTTCAATTACCGTTAGGTGATTTATGTTCACTTAGACGCATATACCTTTGGGAACGGTATGAATCCACATCTTCTCTCTCCAGCCTTGGCTTAATTAGTAAAATTTGTATCGCTAAATTATTATTATCCCCCCAAAAGATTCATACAAATTAAAAATATTTTGTCTTTAAATAATCTGCAAAGGGTTGATAAACCGTAAAAAAGAATCAGTTAATACGGCTATAGGAGGTGGATTTTGACCGGTATCTGTGCAATTATTGATTTGCCAATCAAAATGCGAAATAGCTTGTGTGTCAATCTTTGAAGTGTTACCAATATGTATATAATGCCCAGGCACATAATCTTTTATCATACTATAGTTCTGATTATTTGGACGTTAGGCCGCTGTAAAATACGTCGACTGCACTTCTGCAGATGGATCCCCCATCCAGTGAGGCCACAAACACTCATGCTAAAACACATTTTAACTGAATGTACCCACTTTTCCCCATAAAACAAATTCTACAAGGAAGAGAACTATTTGGAAATACTGAAACCATCAACATAATGTCCTACCTTAAAGAAATAAATCTATCCGAAAACATAACACATATAGTAAACCATCTACAAACTATATATCTAGCAAAAATATACATTTACCCTGAAAGTATAAAATTATATACAAAATATCCAGAGTTGTAGACATAAAATTGCGTAGAAAATATTTAGAGTTCGGTATTAAATAACCCAGAGAGATAAAGTAAAACAATCAAACCAAATGATTTACATCATTCGGACTGTTATCCTCATCTTCATTACCACATGCATAACGTTTTGGTCGTTATATGCTCCGGCCTTCTTCTGGTGATTGGAATTTCGAATCGAACCTTTTATTTCGTCCACCGGGGTAGATTGTTCTAGTTTCACGTGCCATGCCTCTTACAAAGGCCGAAAGGTTGTGAATATGGCAATGAAGATGAGGATAACAGTCCGAATAATGTAAATAATCATAATACCCCATCTCAGAGATATAGACAGACAAATCCGTTAGTTAGCAAGTAAGGACATGTGCTATGCCTTGCCATTGTCTGAGATAAATAATGCACCACCCCGTTCTTGATTGCGAGAATAAAAAAGAAAAAGATGAGAAAGATATATCAGAAACGCTGTTTGGTCTTCGTGAGAAAAAGAAAGCATATACAATAATAAAGAAAGAAAGAAAGAAAGAAAGAAAGAAAGGGAAAATGAAGGTGCTAACAGTCTCACGTCGACCTGAGTAAAATGGAAAGCGTTGTCAATTTTGAATCATTTTATTTGTACCCTCTTACTTCTTTAAATAATGACCACTATTCATATTTATGACCGTTATTGCAATATTTTATTGAAAGTTGTTTAGTTCAATATTTAACGATGCAATAGGGTAATTCTCACGGGCATTTTATAGTCGTAGAACTCGCCATGACCCTATTCAGTCATCGAAATAAGAATTATGATTCGTAAAGAGCATAACCGTGAAAAGTTCCCCGGTATTACGACTGAACATAACCCTCCCAACCAGTGGCGGACTGGCTATGGTGTCAGCTTGCCCGATGGCGAGTGAGACCCTGATGGAGTGGTCCCCCTATATCACATAAAAATACAATAAAGAAACAGACTCAGATAACTGGAATAGTAAACACTAGCAGTAGAATCCGGCGTTGCCCGCGGATGTAACAGTAAGAGATAGATCAAGTATCGACCATCATAAAAACTGAAAAATAAAATTGACAAAGATTATTGTTTAAGATTGACGGACACGCATGTCTTAATTAGTTTTTTCTTTTTTTTCTCACGAATTGGTCAAACCCAAACTCAAACAAAAACATTGTTTTCAATCGTTATGAGTCTACCGATTGAATAGAATTTTATTATAAACAATTGTCTTGTAAAGGGAATTTTTAAAGCATTCTGAATGTAAAAATAAAGAAAAAAATGTGCAAGACAATAAGAAACACTACCTGCCAAAAAAAGTGAAGTTTTGTTGAAATCGGTTGAAAAATGTAGGAAATCCGATCCCATATATAAACGAACACACACACACACACACACACACACACACACACACACACACACACACACACACACACACACACAACCTGGTTTTATAATAATAAGTATAACTCGATATGAGTTGTCCCCCTTTCATTAATGCCTCTTAATCGTGTTTTCAAATTGATTTCGTGCAAAAACAATGGTGTTTTTCCAATTCTGGGCGCTGTCAGAACCACCACAAGGTAATTGTACGTAGTCCTGTGAAGTTTTGTTGAAATCGGTTGAAAAATGTAGGAAATCCGATCCAATATATAAACGTACAGACACACACACACACACACAACCTGGGTTTTATAATAAGTAAGATGATCTTCACTCATTGAGTCTTAGTGGCTTTATTGCCTTGAAAGAATGATGACTTATATGCTGGCACAACTATCGACGAATCAGTTACTCAAATCCAATGTGAGAGGACAGTTACTCAAATCCAACGTGGGGGGGACATTTTCAAAGCAAAAAATCATAAAGACAAGCTTAAAAATTAGTTAGCTGAGGGGAATTCGGAATTATATATGTTGCTATCCATTGAAAAGGAATTTTTAGATGAATGCAGAAGCAATTATTTGCAGATTCAAATAATCACCTCGTGAACACAAACGATTGCTCTTAATATAGTGAATTGCAGGCAATGCACTATTGTGCTTTTGAACTATCTGTTAATGTGCAAATTGTGCAGTAAACTATGTAAAAATATCAACCATTTACTTAAAATTAAGTTTTAAATAAAAAATTAAATTATAACATTCTGTATTTACATTTGGTAGGCATTATATTTACTCTATTCACAAAGACACAGAGTAGTATGATTATATATTTCAAGCATTTTACAGACTAAAATTAAGACAGATGCATTTACTATTTAGATAGTCATTAGATCAGTGGCAGACTGGCCAGGGTGTCAGCTTGCCCAATGGTAAATGGTCTCTTATATCAAATAAAAATGTAATAAAGAAATAAACACAGACAACTGTTTTAGTAATAAAAGCAAAAAGAACTTTATAAAGTCATCTGCACACTATCAGTTACTCACGTCCAATGTGAGAGGACATATTCAAAGCTAAACATCATAAAAACAAGGTTATGAAATTCGCTATCCAAGAAGAATTTGGAATCATGCCCATTGCCATCCATTGAAAAGGAATTGTTAGATGAATTGGTTTCAGAAGCGAACAATCATCTAGTGAACACAAATGATTATTCTTTCTTAATATAGTGGAATGCATGAAATGCTCTTTTGAACTATCTGTTAATAGGGAAATTGAGTAGTAAATTATTTAAAATTATCAACCAATCAGTTAAAATTAAAAATAAATAAATAATTCAATTATCACATTCCGTATTTAGATGTGTTATCCACTGCCAGTAATATGAACATTACATGTATACTGTAATTACTAAGAAACACACATTTTTTCCCCACAAAAATGTATATGGTAGTCCGAAAGTCTTGTCACCCCCACATAATATAATTTTCTATTTCAACGTTCTGTGGCGTATTATCAAGAGAGATTTTCACACGAACGATATCAGAATACCCATCAGCAGAAGGACACCGTTCGGTGAGCCTTTGCAACAATCAACAAAGCAGAGCTTCGTAAAATATCACATAGGACATGGCGTCGCATCATTTTGTGCCACGAAAATGATAGTGTTCATACAGACCTTCACGACGTGTGAAAGCGTCAATTAAAGTGAACAAACTGAATCCAGTACATGTGCTTTGTATTACTGTATTAATTACTTCTATTTTTTCGCATTACTTTTTCGTAGGGGGGGTGACCAGTTTTTCGGACCACCCTGTAAGTGTACCCTTTTCCAATAAGTATTTTGAAGATTTTATTTACTCGTTTTGGAAGTTAAATGGTAGCATTGTAGTTCTGTGTGCCTCCACCCACTTTGTCTCCTGGCAGCCAATATTTCAGACACAGTCCGCCACTGCTTTCAGCAGCAAATCGACGGGAGAGCATCGAGAGAATGATAAGAGATGAACTAGAAGTGCATATAACCCTTGAATTCAAGTGAACACTTCCTCTCGACTCAAGGCGATCTCGCTCCTCGAGATAAGTGTTTACCGAAGGGGAATACGCTGTGGCAAATGCATCGTCGACGCTTGCCTTTGGTGCCGAATGGCACGTGGGACCACTTAAACCAGGCCGGGATTATTTGAAAGACAGACGATTTCAGCGAGTTGAATGTCTGACCACAATTTCACACACTATGCAAGAGAAAATACCTACTTAACTTTAACATGATTGCTACTTGAAGAAACTTTTTTTTTAATTACGCAACGGACGAGGGGATACTGAAAAAAAATGTCTTTCTTTCATATATGTCAGTTTTAAATTGACATGAGAAATATACAGGGGAAGTTTTTTCCATTGCCTTCTCGGCTTCGAATTTATAGCATATCTTCACTTAGATTGGGTAACAACCAAGTTTACCTTGCTATGTAACCAACAGCTGAAACTAAAATAATTTTCTTTTATGTGCCAAGTAAATTCAGAACGTTAGCGATCACCTCTCTCCACAACTTTCGATCTCTTTTTGCTCGAGGCTTACGACAATATCACGTTGAAGCACTGGTTACCGTACGAAGTTAAGCTACGTCGAGCCTGGTCAGTATCTAGATGAGTGATGGCTTAAGAATACCAGCTACTGCAAGCATGGTTGTGCAAGTGGTGTAGTGGATAACAGGTCGGAGTTGAAAATAGGAGAGCCGAGTTCCAATTCCAGTCGGATTCATTACATTCACTTACGCGAAAATACCCTTGGGAAAAAGGTATTAAACTATCTCTTCTCCCCCCTGCTATGGGTTAATTAGTCGGACTTGTATTAGTAAATCATTATCATCTCAGAAAAGTATTACAATCT